GTTGTAAACCAAACCAAACCAAACCCGTTGCCGTCGAGCCGATTCTGACTCATAGCAACCCTACAGGACAGAGTAGACCTGCCCCATAGGGTTTCCAAGGAGCGGCTGGTAGATTCGAACTGCCGACCTGTTGGTCAGCAGCCGAACTCTTAACCACTACGCCACCAGGGCTCCAATGTTGTTAATAATTATTTGTATTCAGCATTGCCTGTTCACGTTACTATGCATCTTTCTTCTGATTAGACCCAGACTATACAGGGGAGGAAGCAGAGCCTCGGTGTCTCTGCCTCTGTCTAGCATGATGGAAAAGTCATTTCCCTCTGGGGTCTACTTCCTGACTCTCAGCTTTCCTGAGCACTAGATTCTTCACCTGTAAAATGGTATTAATAACAGTACTTGTTTCATAGGGGTCTTGTGAGAGTTAAAAGAGATGATATGTGTACGTTAGTTGAAACAGTGCCTGGCAAATAGTAAGTACTCAGTAAATGTTATATGTCATTATAATTTAACCTGGATGAATCTGACATTGAATTTGGTTGGAGGATGACAAGCACAAATCCAATTCCTGACAAAAGCATATGTTGTTGTTGTTGTGGGCTGTGGAGTCGATTCTGAGTCATAGCGACCATATGTGACAGAGCAGAACTGCCCCATAGGATTTCCTAGGCTGTAATCTTTATGGGAGCAGATTGCCAGGTCTTTTCTTCCACGAGTGGTGGGTGGCTTCAAACTGCTGACCTTTCGGTTAGCTGCTGACTGCTTAACCACCATAGTTTATTTAACCATTTCCATATGGTAGACGTTTTGGTTGCTTTTAATATTTTACTATTATAAACAATTCCAGGATAAACATCTTTGTCCATAAAACCCATTTGTTCTGGGGTGTTCTATATGGAGACAGATGGAAATCCATTTATACTTAGGGATGTGCTTCATTAACAGGAGTAGGTTCTGGCTTGACCCAAGAGTAGAGTTAGAAAGTACATGTTGAGGATCTTAGAGACTTTATTTTGCCAACTTCTCAAGAACTTCACTTTTTGATTCTGCTTCTTAACATATGACAAAACTAAGTTTTTCTTTTCAAGGAAATACCAATATCTAAAGATTGGCAGTTTGAATCCACCAGCCACTCCTTGGAAACCCCGTGAGGCAGTTCTACTCTGCCCTATAGGGTTGTTATGAGTTGGAATCAACTGGATGGCAATGGGTTTTTGGTTTTTGAATATACAGTAAGCCATCTTGTCATAGTTCTTAGAATGTTCCTTGGTTCTGTTAGGCACCTTGAAAGCGCCCATTCTGAATTAGTCAATCAAATTAATCAATATTTATTAAAATGCCAAATAGTTTAGTAATTAAATAATTTTGGGATGGAATTTCAGGAATAACTTACTAGTTATAGGATCTCAGGCAAGTTATTTTAATCTTTGTGAGTATTAGAACAATTACTTTGTCTTCTCTGAGACTCAGTTTGTTCATAAATAAAATGGAGACAATAATGCTTATGTTAATTCATTAATTCATTTGTTTATTCAAAAATTATCTATTGAGCTCCTACTATGTGCCAAATGGAGCCCTGGTGGTGCAGTGGTTAAGAGTTCGGTTACTAACCAAAAGGTCGGCAGTATGAATCTACCAGTCACTCCTTGGAAGCTCTATGGGGAAGTTCTACTCTGTCCTGTAGGGTTGCTATGAATCAGAATCCACTCGACGGCAACAGGTATGTGCCAAATACTCTTCTTGGTGCTTGGGATGAATCAATTAAAAAAAAAAAAAAATCAATCTGTCCCAAAGGAGCTTATATTCTAGTGGTAATGATAGGGGGAGGGGAATAGATAATAAATGGTAAATGTAATGCATAAGTAAATTATATAGCATGTTGGATGATGATATGTACAGCGGCAAATACAGAGTTGGAGATAAGGTGGATCAGATGTGCTTGGAAGGATTGAACTTTTTAAAATGGTAATTATGGTAGACCTCATTGAGGTGACATTTAAACAAAGACTTGAAAGAAGTAAGGCAGTTAGTTAGCCATACCACATTCATATGGAGAGAAGTATTCTAGGCAGAGGGGAGAGCAAGTACAAAGGCCCTAAGCTGGGAGCATGGCAGGCATGTTTGAGGAATAGTAAGTACAAGGGGGCTGAAGCACCGTGAGTAAATGGGAAAATAGTAGGAGATGAAGGCACAGAGGTAAGAAAGCCCAGATCATGTTGGACCTCGCAGGTCATTGTCAGAGCTTTGGTTTTTATGCTGAGTGAAATGGAGCGTCATAAGGTTTTTGAGCAGACGAAACACATGGATGGATTTACATTTTCTTAGAATCACTCCTGATTCTAAGAAGGTTTATCCTCACTGGTTCCTGAGTGAGGATAAACTCTGGGGTGGAGATGTTACTGCAACCCCTTCTCCTTCCCATTCCCTTCCCCATGGAGGAGGTAGCATGGTAGCTGAAAATGTGGAGAAGTGAGGGAGATTGTAAAGCCATACAAAGGTACGGACTGGGGCTGGGTAGGTATAGGTTGGTGGGTACAGCAGCTGAGGATACCTCACAGAGGAGTGGAGTGGAGGTGGTAGGTGGAAGAGATGACCATCATGGTTAGAAGATCGACTGTATTAAGTAAATTAGTAAACTGATTATACATATAAGAAAATATAATGAGGATAACAGAGGCCAAATTTCTCACTGCTAGAGAAAGAATTTATGAACACAGAAAGGGATAAGGCTAGAAGAACTCTAAAATGTTGGATTGTAACTGGAGGTATCAGTATGAATTCATGATCTGTGTCTACATGTCTCTTTATATCTATCTCTACATATAGATATGTTGTTGTTAGGTGCCGTTGAGTTGGTTCTGACTCATAGCTACCCTACGTACAACAGAACAAAATACTGCCTAGTCCTGCACCATCTTCACAATCGTTACTATGTTTGAGCTCATTGTTGCAGCCACTGTGTCACTCCATCTCATTCAGGGTCTTGCTCTTTTTCACTGACCCTCTACCAAGCATGATGTCCTTCTCCAGGTACTGGTCCCTCCTGATAACATGTCCAAAATATGTGAGACCAAGTTTTGCCATCCTTGCTTCTAAGGAGCATTCTGGCTGTACCTCTTCCAAGACAGATTTGTTAGTTCTTCTGGCAGTCCATGGTTATTCAGTATTCTTTGCGAACACTGTAATTCAAAGACATCAATTCTTCTTTGGTCTTCTTTATTCATTGTCCAGCTTTTGCATGCGTATGAGGCAACTGAAAACACCATGGCTTGGGTCAGATGCACCTTAGTCCTTAAAGTGATATCTTTGCTTCTGAACACGTTAAAGAGATCTTTTGCAGCAGATTTGCCCAATGCAGTGTGCTGTTTGATTTCTTGACTGCTGTTTCCATGGGTGTTGATTGTGGATCCAAGTAAAATGAAATCCTTGACAGCTTCAACCTTTTCTCCATTTATCGAGATGTTGATTACTGGTCCAGTTGTGAGGATTTTTGTTTTCTTTATGTTGAGGTATAATCCATACTGGAGGCTGTAGTCTTTGATCTTCAACAGTAAGTGCTTCGAGTTCTCTTCACTTTTAGCAAGCAAGGTTGTGTTGTCTGCATATTGCAGGTTGTGTGAGTCTTCCTCCAATCCTGATGCCCCATTCATCTTCATACAGTCCAGCTTCTCGGATTATTTGCTCAGCATACAGATTGACTAAGTATGGTGAAAAGATGCAACCCTGACGCACACCTTTCCTGACTTTAAACCACTTAGTATCCCCTTGTTCTGTATGAATGACTGCCTCTTTGTCCATGTACAGGTTCTTCATGAGCACAATTAAGTGTTCTGGAATTCCCATTCTTTGCAATGTTATCCATAATTTGTTATGATCCACACAGAAGTGCCTTTGCATAGTCAATAAAACACAGGTGAACATATTTCTGGTATTCTCTGCTTCAGCCAAGATCCATCTGACATCAGCAATGATATCCCTTGTTCCATGTCCTCTTCTGAATCTGGCTTGAATTTCTGGCAGTTCCCTGTCGATGTACTATTGCAACTGCTTTTGAATGATCTTCAGCATTAGTTTATATATATATAAACATAGATTATATATAATATATATAAAGAAATAATTTAGATGTATAAGTGTGTGTGTATGTGTCCATGTATTTAAAAAAAAAAAAAATCCGTTACTGTCGAGTTGATTCTGACTCATAGTGACCCTATATGATAGAGTACAGCTGCCCCATAAGGTTTCCAAGGAGCGGCTGGTGGATTCGAACTGCTGACCTTTGGTAAGCAGCCAAATGCTTAACCACTGCACCACCAGGGCTCCATGCTTATGTATAGACATACATATATCTCCTAGCTCTGTCCACCAAGAGGGCTTAGAAGCAATGGCATCCAGTAGCAATGAGCATACCCAACACCAGATATTGGTTTCTAAATACCATCTTCCACCATCTAAAAGAAATCAGGTTAAAATGAAACAATGGTATAGCTTAACTAGTAAAAGAAGTCTGCCTTGAGCATTATGCTCTTTTAAGAATTATCTGTATAGGATCAAATTGACAACAGCAACTGGAAGGATTATCCAGGAATCTTAGGGGGAAGTGAATTTATGTTAATGGAGGAGGAACAACTTAGAAAAGGGAGGGTGAGAATGGTTGCACAACTCGAAGAATGTAATCAATGTCAATGAACTATACATGCAGAGACTGTTGAACTGGTGTATGTTTTGCTGTGTATATTCTCAACAACGACACAACAACAAACAAACCCATTGTCGAGAAGTCAGTTCCAACTCAGAACAGTAGTTAAAAAGGCTCAGAACGGGGAGATTAGGGACACCTGTATCTGTCCCAAAGCAACACATCCCTTCTTCTTGGTCTGAGAAAGATGAAGTGCTTCCCTTATGCAAAGCAATCTCTTCTAGTTATGCCATTGATTCTTCCTTCTCCTGCCTCTTCTAGTACTATCTGTATCATTTATCCCCTCTCTCTTTTACACTTTCAGCCTCTTCTGCTGAATCCGTCGTTCTCATCAGAGCTCACCTTCAACAGGGAGGGTAAGTGGAGGCATGTGGTGTATAATTAGGTGTCCTTTGGTGGCACAAATGATTGGTTGGTGGTTTGAATCCACCCAGAAGTTCTTTGGAAGAAAGGCCTGGTGATCTACTTCCAAAAGATCACAGGCATTGAAAACCCTGTGGAGCACTGTTCTACACTGGGGTTGTCATGAGTTGGAATTGACTTACTGGCAACTGGTTTGGTTTCGTTTTATTTTTTTGGTGGTGCATGATTAGAAATGAAACTAAGACCTCTCTAGGTTTTCGTTTCATTTTCTCCTCCCCGATTGAGAACTATTCCTCTGTATTTATTCTCTACCCTCTTGCTATGAACATAATATATTGAGCATTTCTTATTATAAAAACACTTCCTTGAAGCTGACATGTTTTTCTTTCAATATTCCCCCCTCTGCCCCCTAACACTTCTAAAGTACAACCCTGTTCCTACAACTCTTGTGCAGAAACCCTTCTATTAAAACACATATCACATAGTAAGAAAAAGAAAAGAAAAGAAATCAGAGCTGTGGCTGATTCCAGGGCAGGGGACTGGAAAATGTAAGACGAGTCTGGAGCATCTTCTTATGCTAGAAATTACGGAAATGTTCAATGAATAATGGGGATATTTCAAGAGGGCACAGGGCCAGCTTAAATGAACTCCCCCTGGCCACATCAGGAACAATCTAAGTATCAAGATAAATAATAATAATAATAATGGATTACAACCCACTGAATAAAATAGGAGTCCATACTGATAAAAAAAAAAGAAACAAAACAAGACAAACAAATAAAAGGGAAAGCTTGTCATTACCATAGAATGCCAACCAATAAATGTAGAAGGACTAGTGGAAATAGAGAACCATCATTTGGCAAGCATCACAGATGTGGTTGATTTAGACTGAAGTCATCAATGGATGCTAAGGCCAAAGGGTGAAAGTTTCATGAGCAACAGGATATTTTGACATAAATTAGGAATACCTCCCCATTTAATATTAATCAATTGCAAAGAGAAAGATGATAAATACAAGTGGAGAAACTTGGCAACATGAACATAACCAAGTGACTAAGGTTAATATCACCAGTGGTAGGCTAGGCTGATATTGTATATCTTCTGATGTGATACAATGAGAAGAGCACAGCATTGTTTCTGCAGAATTATTGCCAAGAATGAATGGCCTAATTCTGATTATGAGGAAACATCAGCTGGATCAGATTAGAGGTCATCCTGCGGAATGTAAGACGTCTCATAGAGTGTCAAGCACATAAGCAGGGACGGATTACCCCAAAAGCAAGGAATGCATGGGCTTAATTGTGCTTACTTACTAATCTGTAGTGCACAGTTTCACATGAGTTTCACCACATCAAAGACAATTAAGCCTATGAGTATCTTGCTTACTGTAAACCTGTGCTACTTTGCTTACTGGTTAATCTGCCACTGCACATGAGAAATGGAAAAAACTGCAGAACTGTTTCAGAATGAAGGACTCTGAAGAGACCTGACAGCTAAATGTAACACATGTTTCTGAGAGGACACTGGACCACAGAGGAAAAAGAGACATTGTTGGGACAATTAAGGAAATTTGAATGGAATTGAATGAGAGTGTTACATTAATGTTGATTTCCTCATTTATAGAGTTGTATAGTTGTGTGCTCTGGTGGCATAGTGGTTAAGAGCTACGTCTGCTAACCAAAAGGTTAGCAGTATGAATCCACCAGGCACTCCTTGGAAACTCTATGGGGCAGTTCTACTCTGTCCTATAGGGTCGCTGAGTCAGAATCAACTCAGTGGCAATGGGTTTGGGTTTTTTTGGTTATGGTTGTGTGCTAGTCATATAGCGGAGTGGTTTTCTTTTCTTGTTTTTTTGGAAAATGCACATTGGCATGCTCATGGATCATATGACTTGCTCTCAAAAAGTTTAGAATAGACATTCAGGTGACTAACAAACACATGAAAAGAAGCTCACGATCATCAGCCATTAAAACCAAAACGAAACCTGTTGCTGTCAAGTTGATTCCAACTCATAGTGACCCTATAGAAATGCAAATCAAAACCACAGTGAGATACCATCTCACCCCCACAAAAATGACACTGATCAGAAAAACAGAAAACAACAAATGCTGGTGAAGTTGTGGGGAGATTGGAGCTCTTATATACTGCTGGTCGGGTCATAAAATGGTATAGCCGCTGTGGAAAATGATATGGCGCTGCCTGAAAAAGCTAGAAATAGAAATACCTTATGATCCAGCAATCCCACTACTAGGTATATATCCTAGAGATATAAGAGCAGTGACTCGAATAGACACATGCACAACTAAGCTCATTATAGCATCATTCCCAATAGCAAAAAGATGGAAACCTAAGTGTCCATCAGCGGATGAATGGATAAACAAATTGTGGTACATACAAAACAATGGAAGACTACACAATTATAAAGAATAATAAGGAGTCTGCAAAACATCTTACAACATGGACGACTCTGGAGGGTATTATGCTGAGTGAAATAAGTCAATCACAAAAGGACAAATATTGCATGGTCTCACTTTCATAAGAACTCAAGAATAGGTATACATACAGAAAACAGTGATCTTTGGTGGTTACCAGGGATGGGAGAGGGAGGGAGGGGGAATCACTTTCTAGATGGTAGACACTTGTTAATTTTGGTGACGGGAAAAACAATACCCAATACTGTGGAAGTCTGCACAACTTGACCAAGGCAAATGAAAATACTAAGAAGTACACAAGAATAAGGGACAATTTCAGTAAATGCTATAACATATACAATTTTGCAACAACAGTAATAACAACCAAAAAATATGAGTATGGTTACATAGCTATATATTTATGCATATATGTGTATAGGAAGGCATGTGTGAGTACATGCGTGTGCATGTATAGATGTATCTGTACGCATATGTATACAGGCAGTCCCTGGGTTACAAACAAGATCCGTTTCTAAATCTGTCCTTAAGTTGAATTTGTATGTAAGCCAGAACAGGTATATATGGTTCTTATTTAGCATCAGTTAGTCAAATGTTTGACTTAGTATATAGTACATATTTTACCTTTCTATAAAGGAAACCCTGGTGGCATAGTGATTAAGCTGCTAACCAAAAGGTCGGCAAACTCGATGGCAACAGGTTTGGTTTTTTTTAAAAATATGTGTAAACACTTAACACTCCCAAACCATGCAATGTTTTCATGAGTATCACAAAGTAGTGTGTGTGTTTGTTATTATGAACCGTTGTATTTAACTCAAATTTTTAATGTAATAGGCTTTATGGCAGTCTGTTCTTAAGTACGAGTTGTCCATAAATCAGACGTTCATAATCCGGGGACTGCCTATATGCATGTTTGAGTGTGCTGCATATATATTCCTATATATAATAAAGCATATAGGGGGCACAGTTGTGGAGACTTCCTAGACATATTCAAACACCTCATGGAATTGGTTTACTAGATTAAAAGGCTTGGGACCATAGTCTTGTGGGACAACTCAGTCAATTGGCACAACATAACCTAACATAAAGATAAATATTCTACATCCTAGTTTGATGAATAGTGTCTGGGGTCTTAAAAGCTTGCAAGTGGCCATCTAAGATACAACTATTGGTCTCTGCTGATCTGGAGCAAAACAGAATGAAGGAAACCAAAGACTCAAAGAAGAAACTAGTCCATGGGACTAATAGCCCACATGAACCACGGCCTCTTCTAGCCTGAGACCAGAAAAACTAGATGGTGCCTAGCTACCACTACCAACCATTCTGACCAGGGACATAATAGAAGGTTCCAGATAGAATGGGAGAAAAATATAGAACAAATTCAAATTCCTAAGAAAGGCCAGACTTACTGGACTGATAGACACTAGAGGAATCCCCAAGATCGCCCTAAGATAGCCTTTGAACTTGGAACTGAAGCCACTCCCAAAGGTCACCTTTCAGCCAAATAATAAATTGGCTTATAAAATAAACAACATCACCTGGCAGTAATGAAGCAATCAACTATATGAAACGGGACGATCAACATTTACTCAAAAGCAAGGATGAGAAGGCAAGGAGGGGAAGGGAAGCTAGATAGATGGAAATAGAACAAACAGAATGGAAATAATGAGAATGCTGACACATTATGGGCATTGTAACCAATGTTATGAACAACTTGTATAAAAATTGTTAAATGGGAACCTAATTTGCCAAGTGAACTTTTACCTAAAACACAATAGGTTTAGAATATATCGAGAGAGAGAGCGCATGGGAGAGAGAGCATGAGTGAGAAAGCGAACGCGGTAAAATTTTAACAATTGGGAAATCTGGGGGGAAGCAATACAGAAGTTATTTGTATTGTCCTGGCAACTTTTCTGTAAGTTTAAAGTTACTTCAAAACAGTTTTTTAAAAAGGCTACTGGAGTTTCTGGGTGGTGCAAATGGTTAATGCGCTTGGCTGCTAACCAAAAGGTTAGAAGTTGGAGTCCACCCAGGGGTACCTTGGAAGAAAGGCCTAGTGATCTACTCCCCACCCCCCCCCAAAAAAAAAATCAACCTTGGAAAACCCTATGGTGTTCTACTCTGGCACACACGGGGTTGCCATGAGTTGAAATAGACTCCCATGGCAACTGGTTTGGTTTTTTTGGGTTTACTGGAGGTGTGAGATGATGATGACTTAGCCTGGGGGTGGGGTTGGAGTGGGGAGGGGAAGGGCTGACAATGGCGGTAGTGGGAAATGCTCAGATTCTGGATATATTTTGAAAGTAGAACCAATAGGACTTTCTGAGGAGTTGCTTATGGGTTATGAAAGACAAAGAGGATACAAAAATGACTCCAAGGTTTTTGGCCTGAGCACCCGAATGAAGGGGGTTACCACCAACTGATATACAAACCTGGGCAGGACAGGTTTTTTAGGGGAATATTAAGCATTGTTTTGGGCGTGTCGAGTTTGAACTACTCACTGGATATTCTAATGAAGATGTCAAGTAGGCAGTTAGATACAAGAGTCAGAAGTTCGGGAAAGA